GCCCTATTCTGAATGTCCGGAGCCGCTCTCTGCCAAATGATAAAACTGAGAAAAGATAATTTATCAGAAAAGAAAGGAAAACGCAAAACAACAACGCACAGCCAAAGTCAGATGGAAAGTGAGCTCGATTTTCTCGTCAAGCTAAAAGAAACTGACAAAAGCCATCTTCCAGAGGCTCTCAAAATTCTTGACGAAGGCCATTTGACTTTTGTCAAGAAAAAATTTCTGAACTTCGTAAGAGAAGCAGATTTGAACATCAGAGAATATGTGAATGAGCGAAGTTTGAAGAAACACAAGAGCAACTTTTTGGAAGTTGTTCACTTCAATGTTTACAGTGATGAGCAATTGTTAAAATCCTTCAAATGGTCAGCAGAGAAGTGTGGAGCATCAATTAAGGATGTAGAGTCCAATGTAATCGACAAGGTTTATAGTGACATGCTTCATAAACTGTGTAACACTAGAACAAAGGAATTCTTCAGAGGGAAATTTGAAAAGGACTTGGCCACATCAGGTAAAGTTGTCGAAGCTGACCAGTCCCTTAGAGATAATCTCAAAACATTTAGCATTGCTAAAAAGAGATAGATAGAAGTTTTAGAAGAGTATACATATGCCATAATTACATGTCTCATCAGCTTCCCCTTGGTGTCAAACCCTGGTAAAATATAGGCCACCTATATGTGAAGGGGAAAGCTTAAAAGTTGAATTCTCCTGGATTCCATTTGTATTGCCCACAGGTACTGACAATTTAAATCAATCATTCCTGCGAATTTATATAATTATACCCTTACAAACTGTAAACCTCTGAGAAAGTTTTGAATTGCCTAAACCATTGGTTAAGACCCCTTCCAAACCCTCTATATTCATAACATATTCCTGTGGTTCCCAACCAACAATGCTAAGAGCTGGGAGCTGGTGATGTGTGCATTAACACTTTGGGCCTTTTGGTCAACATAAAAGTTTTTACAGTACAGGAATACTGCTTCAACTTCAAGACAGTTTGTCAAATGTTGATTGTAAAGGAAATTCCCATGAATTTTTTTGATAATCTGGCTTAGACAGTCAAAAAAAAAAAATTCTGATCCCTCTCAGAACTCAAGGGTTTAAAATTGACCCTAATGCAATGCTTCAATTTTAGATGATTTTATAGAGTTGTTACATTGTAGATACATGTAGTTTATTATTTTCTGATAATGTGCAACATAATTTGTATTTAGTAAATTGTGGAATAATATTATTTTGATTATGTATTTACATAGTTCAAGACAATAACTTAATGTACATCTGACTTGTTTACCAATGCATACTTTCTTTCTGTATTGACAATTTAACTCAGTTAGCACTATGAATTTATATTATACCATTACATTGACTATAAATCTCTGAGAAAGTTTTGAATTGCTCAAACCGTTGGTAAAGACCCATTCCAAACCCTCTATATTCAATACATATTCCTGTGGTTCCCAATCAACAATGCTAAGAGTTGGAAGCTGGTGATATGTGCATTAACACTTTGGGCCCTTTGGTCAACATAAAAGTTCTTTCAGTACTGGAAAACTACCTCAACTTCAAGACAGTTTGCCAAAAGTTGATTGTGTAGGAAATTTCCATGGATAATTATTGTTCTAGGAAGTGAAGAAAACTTGATTTTGATCCATCTCCAGACCGAAGAGTTTTTAAATTCAAAGACCTTAATGCAATGCTTCAAATTTAGATGATTTTATTGAGTGGTTCATTGTAGATACATGTAATTCACTATCTTCTATCATGCCTCATATAATTTGTATTTAGCAAGTTGTTAAATAATAATATTTTGATTTTGGTATTTACACAATTCCTGACAATAAATAAATGTACATTCTTGTTTACCAATGCATACTTTCTTGCAGTTTTGTAAAATAAAGGTTATTTGATAGGACATAAATCATTAGTGGTCTTTCATTTAATATGCATTATTAGTACACAAGGAATGATAGTGCAATACCATGGAAACATTTACCGCAGTTTTGATCTCTACTAAGTAACTAGTCTGAATTTCACCTTATCAATTAGTGTTGTCTTGAATATTACATTAACCAGGGATTCACATCAGCACAAATTCTAACAGTAAGAAACGTTTCTGGTACTTAATAACCCATAATAAATGTAAACAAGAAAACGACACGAAAAGCCCGGGTATTAATGACATTAATGGGGTTGCAGACCCACTCAAAACTACAACATTACTTTAGCAACAACAAGAACACTTAATCTGCATTCCAAATCAGAGAAATTATGATAAAAATGAAACTTACAAATGCACATGAAATGATGTGACATTATTGACCACTAGCCCTCTACAGTACTTGTGAAGAGCAAATTTTACATACCAGAACTACAACATGTGAACAAGGATATTTCCTCCTTAGAAAAACCAGTTTTCTACTAAAACAAGGCTTACATGGCAATGAATATTATTCAAAGGCTCAGGTAAATAGCATAATTTTGTTAACCTGGCCTAATTTCTGATTTAATTGGCTACTTATTTATGTACAATCATATGTAACAAATGTAAGGGTGCATAAGCCCAAAGATCCATTAAAGTACTTCTGCACCATCTTGGAAAGCCAAGTTACAATGTCAGTACTGCTTGTCTGCCCTGCTGGTGCATAGCAGATTAGGGCTCCATACTGACAATGAATATGAGAGTCAACAATGGCAAAGGCCCCTGTCTCCCAGATCAATAGTGCCACACTTTGAAAGTCAGAGATTAGCACAGCAACTTGCTTTTGATGATGGGCCGCTCGTGTTTGCAATGACTGGACAAGGGGTGATAAATCACCAGATCGCAAATCAAATCCAATGGGTTGATTGTAATGGGAAATGTGTAGATCATTTCCACAGCACTCGACAGCATCTTCAGTGTCAAGGTTTCTGGCCTCTCCATCAAAGAGAAGGTCATGCAGAGCATTACCCTCAAGCATTGAGTCGACAATTACTTGAAACCACTGACTTGGTAGGGTGCTCAAGGTTAGCTCTGGCAGGGTAAGTTTGACAAACTGGTATCCTACCAACAATGCTATGATGGTGCATACGTTGCTTCCTTGGCGACCACCAATAGTAGACTGGCTGAGGTTTGCTGAGAAGCAAAACTGCTTTATCTCACTCAGACCAAAAGGATCATAAACCAGTCGTACCGAATATGACATTCTTGAGCCCCCACTACTTGATGTAAATGATCCAGACACCAGGATAATGTCATCACGATAATCACGCTCTGAGTTACTGTTGGTGATAACCTCTCGGCCAGTAATGACTCGTCTGCGGAAAGATCCATACTTGCTTGCAGAGAGGTTTCCACCAGCAGTATATTTCAGGACACTAAATATTGATTCAATGGCACTACCATTGATTCTAAGAGGACTGATGAAATAATCAGGACAGGCTGCCATGAACCACCAACTGAACTGCAGGAAGCCATAAACCATAAATCTCAAAAGGTCCCATGTCTGCAAAAGAAAAAAAAATCTGGATTACAATTCTAATTGTTTGTGTAGAAAAGTGGTTGTCTTGATAAGCAATACATTGCAATTTGTATTCCTTACTAATCATTTCAACTTGGAGGACCAGCTTGTTGACAATCATTTTAAAATATGCATGAACTTTTTTTTTTCATCCAGGTGCTTTTCTTAGTTTTAGGGTTACACCCTAGCTCTCTGGACAGATTACTAATATTACCCACAGCCTGTTAATGCCAAGTTGCAATATTTGAATAACTGGATTTTTCTGTTAACTAGATATAGTTGCATCCTTGGCCAGTTCGAGTGCCAATCTGACTGGCCACACTAGGAGGGAACAGATGATGACTGCTCATTTAAGAAACACTAGTAACTGGAGCATTTGGTTGTAAAAATACATAACCTTTTACATGATTATTTTACCTGCCATGCTAAGAACTTGCTTTGTCTAGCTTGCTTGCTGTTATTGGGATACTCTGAAGAAATGGAGGGAAAGGAGGGAAACTCAATTCAGTTGTTAATTGTTTAAAGGCAAATTATTTAATATCCTTAAGTCCTATAAAAGTTAATGTACTGCATGTTTTCTCTGGCTGATAGTGCAATTGAATGACTTCATACTCTACAACACAAGGCTCCTCCTTCCTGTTCTAATTCATTTGACTTTTCATTCATGGCCATGACAAGCAGGAATACATTTTTAGTTATTTTCATATGCAAGAAAGCAAGACATTAATTGCAATCACTCAACAGGGTTCCAAGAGAGACATTAAATAAGTTAATTCTAGGTTTCTCACCAGTGTTTTGATGACATATGAACCAGTCTTTAAAGAAGCTGAAGCCCTCCTCAATGTTTTCCAGAACACGTTGGTATTTAGGTGAAACAGTCATATGGCTCAATATACCCTTCTCGAAGATGAGATGGCAGGCCTCCAAGAAGTTGCTAGTCATTTCCACCATAGATGCATCAGCAGGCAATGGAATCTTTCTTGCATGTTCTTGGAGAGCACTGATCATGTATCGTTGCTATTAGGGATTAGCAAAGAAGGAGTATGATTGAAATTAATTCGTGCACAAAATGACAACATCAGTGAAGTGTGATGTGTACAAGTCATGTAAATGTATGAAACTAACTTGATGAGAGGTCAATTTAAATCCATGGATAATTTTCAAAAAATGGGGTATTTCATGACAAAAATGATTTTGGGGACTTACATGTAAACATAAGAAATTATTTAATATTCATCCCTCAAAGTTGATTAGATTTCATCTGTTTTATTCCCCTAAACCTAAGTGCCATGGAAGAATTTCATATATAAAAATAGCCATGGCCTATAGTCACATTGCACTCTTTGATATCTTGTTAAATATTAATATGTATATATTTTTAATTTCTTACAGAAGCCATCATCAGACCCTTTTAAAAATTATACCTGAATTATCTTTGCTAGAAGAACATTTAAACGGGTCCAGCTATCTCGATGTACAAAGCTGTACCAGAGTCCAGGAACTCTTCTAGCCAAATTCTGTTTCACTCTGTCCTGGTCACGCTCATACTGATCAAATATTGGTTGCCAGCCAAACTCAATACCATCTTTCTGAAAAGATTTGGTAGCCCTTGGTCTTGAACTGTACAGAGCAGCAGTGTTGTTTTTGAGCTGTATAACAATGGCAATTTGATATTAACATTACACTACAAACCAGTACTAGAAAACCAAAAGAAAATAATTACTGCATCATTTGGAGCTTTGCAGTTTGCCAACCGTTAATGGTAATTCATTTCTCCAGTTAGTAACTCTTAAACTCAATAACTGGTTCCATTCCAATGGACCTTATAAGGAACAAAGTTTTCACTAAAATATTGGCAAGCCTACCATTAAAAAATTGTACTTAACACAGATGAGAGACACCCCTGAAAGCCTGCATAAATATAAATATACACAGAAACTTGAAATGAATACTATGAGCATTCCCCCCCTTCATATGCATGCCATGGTGAAATAATAATGTGCATTAGATTTACATGATTGTTAAATTAACCAATAGGAGGACCCCTGTTCAAAAAAAAATAATAGTGAAGCTTCACTACTATTTTTTTTGAACAGGGGATATAAAAGATGCATATTAGGCAAAAACATTAAGCCAAAGCTGATTAGCAACCACCGTGTTGATACAACATGTATCTACACTGTATGGTGTATCCATTATATGAAAAGAATTAACACAAAA